CGCCCCTGCCTTTTCTCTGCAGCTGAAGAAGCTGGATCAGGCCGTGTCCGCTGCTCACACCTTCTTCGTCGCTAATCCCCAGCACCTCCAAATGCGGGAGGACATAGAGAAGTACCGGCGTATGTCAGGGGTGAAGTCGGACAACTTCCGAGACTTGGAGGCCACGCCGCACTGGGTGAGGGTTCCATGCAGAGCCAGGCGTCAGCAGCTCTTAGCCCATCCTAGGGACCAGTCTGGGACCCTGATCTGTTCCCACACAACAGCCACGGCTTGAGACAGGGCCCCTGTGCACAGAATCACAGAATGGCTTAGGCTAGAAGGGACCTAGTCCAACCCCCCTGCCGTGGGCAGGGACATCTTTCACTAGATCAGGTTGCTCAAAGCCCCATCCAACCTGACCTTGAACACTTCCAATGATGGGGCATCCACAACTTCTCTGGGCAACCTGCTCCAGTGTCTCACCACCCTCATCATAACAAATGTCTTCCTTATCTCCAACTTAAATCTACCCTCTTTCAGTTTAAAACCATTGCCCCTTGTCCTGTCACTACAGGCCTTGGTCAGAAGTCTTGCTCAGTCTTATAAGCCCCCTTTATATTTGAAAGGCTGCAAGAAGGTCTCCCTGAAGCCTTCTCTTCAGGGTGAAGACAAACCATTGCAAGTGTGACACACAGACTTTGTGGTGACAGTTATGGCAGGCTGCAGGGCCTTGGAGAAGTATATTTGGCTTAAGTCCAGAAGATTTGTTGTCACTGCGTGGTGGGCTGCGCATGATCAGGCAGGCCCCTAGATGTCAGCACTATCCTGTGAGTGACTTGGAAGTCTCAGGGCGTCCTTTGGTGTCACCCACACTGATGAGAGACCTGGATCTGTCCTTTGCAGGAAGCATATGAGGCTGGGGTGCAGCACTACGATGCAGATGAGTACGTGCAGGCTGTGGCCAGGCTGGAGGAGTCACTCACAGAGGCGCTGTCAGCGCTGGAAGAGTGTCGTGCCCTGTGTGAAGGGCCTTGGGAGGGTGAGGACGAGGAGGAGGAGGAGGAGATGCAACCTGGCCTGTACGAAGCCATTGCAGGTAGCGTTAGAGGCACAGAGGGTTGGGTAGGAAAGCTGTGCTCCCCACAGTGGACATGCCCCATTTCCCAGCGCTCCTGCTGGAAGAAGCATGAGCTACTGCCTTTCTTGCTCCTCTCTCTTGCAGCCCATTATATTCAGGTTTTGAAGTGCAGACAGCAGTGTGTCCTTGAAATTGCCACAAAGCCAGGGCGGATTTCTGCCACAGAAGATTTCATACCCTCTCATCTTGATTTACTGCAGTTTGCCTACGATCAAGGTGAGCAGAGCCACAGCCCAGCAGGTTATGCTGTGGCACCCCTAAACTTGCCCTTTGCCTCTGGACATGGAGGGCAGCATGTCATGGGGAGAAGTGGCATAGTGACCTGAGCTCTACCTCTCTCTCTCCCCTTCTGCCCCCCCAACTCTTCCCAGAACCTTTCTTCTCTTGATCAAGCCTGTGACCACCTTGGGAGAGGTCCCCTGTGGTCCACTTCAGTCTCCTTGTGCAGCTTCTGTAATGTGTGGCTGTTCCCACTTCTTTCCTCCAGCACTCTCCATTTCAAGTCCTTGCTCCAACTATCTGCTGTGTATTTTACACCCTCCTGGCTCTGGACCAGGCCCCCACTTCCTGTCTAGAGCATGTACGTGCATCTCATCTCAGCAGTGGTGTTCCTTGTGAGTCAGCCCTGCCTACCCTCGCTGAATTGATGGCCTGTCATGACGTTGGTCATCCTGTCACCTTGTCGCTTTTACATATTCCTCAGCTCTTCTCTTGGATACCTCTGCTCCTTCCCATACTGACCCAGCTGTCTCTCATCTCCTCTGTCAGACCACTGCTAAAACTTGTATCTCAAAGAAGCCTCCAGACCCCAGACCACTCATAAGGTCTGTTGCGTGAGGGGGGTGGGACCGTCTTTCTTCAAAATATGTAGTTATTTTTTCTCTGTTTCCTCTGAACAAGCTCCCAATAAGTATTGAAAGTGGGCCCATTCTTCACCGGGCTCATTCCCTGTATTCTCTGCCCATCATTAGGTAGAGGCCCAACTAGGCAGGGATTGATGTGTGCTCGGTGTAAGGTCTCCTACTGCTGGATCCTGACCAGGGCATTGGGTGCAGCTGGCCTATACACATTTGTTGCTAACATCAAGTCTTTCAGAGACATATCTGTTTGTTCTGTTCTGTCCCTGCCCAAGTTGGGAACCAGGCACTGGCTGCTGAATGTGCTGCTTCCTACTTGCTCTTCTATCCCACGGATGAGCCAATGTTGGAGAAAATGAAAGAGTATCGCACAGAACTGGGAGAGGACACAGCTGTCACAGCCAGAGAGGTAGTTACAACCCCAGGTCTGTACTTTTTGGCCCTCCCCTGTCCCATACAACAGTCCAGGAGACAAAAAGGGAAACATGTTTCACTGCAGATGTGTGCCAAGCCCAGGACTGAAGAAACTGGAGCCTGAGTTTACTTACAGTCTGTACCAGGCAGGGTCCCTTCAGGACAGAACCAGGCTTTCATAGTGCACAGCAGTGTGTTGGGGCAGGTTTCTGCCCCGGACAGGGATGGGGTTGTCTTTTGTGGGGTGGTTGTTTGACAGCCTCTTTGCTTCCTTAGAGTATTCAACATTATGTGCAGAGATCTTTGATGGAGAAGAAGTTGATTTATTATGCAGTGGAGCATCTAGGAGGAACTTTTAACGACCCTGTAAGTAACAGTATCGTCTTAATCTTCCTGCCCTGATTTCACCAAGACAGTTGCCAGAATTCACTTCAGTAGCACATGATCCAGAAAGGATCAGATGCTGATGAGAAGGACCCCGAAGTCCTTATAGAGTGGATCTTTAAGGCCTTTCAGCTGCTGCAGCACTGAAGTTAGTTTGAAATTGCTGCTGTAACCATATGCATTAGCCCAATCTGGTTGTCGTCAGAAGCATGCCAGAACCATTGGTCTGATATTCACTGAAGAAGCAGGACAAGGAACTGGCTGTTTGCCATGATCCAATGTGGGAGAAGTTTGTTGTGTACTGAGTGGTCTGCATTTGTTCCTACAGGATCTTTGGACTCCAGATGAGCTGATTCCTGAAAACCTAAAGGAGAAACACAGGTAAGGTTGGCCAAGTTGACTAGGACTGAAATATAACTGTTGGAAGTAGGGGATCGGGTTGGACTGGCAGTGGTGGTACAAGGAACAGTAATACTGAGGAATGGGCAAAACAGGAACAGGAAGGGTGTGAAGAGCTACCGCAGAGGAGGGTTAGGCATAGCTCTGTGTACTGACTACCTTGGTCTCTGTTTTCTCCCTTGCTCCCGAGAGAGGATCAAGAGAAGCAAAAGCAGGAAACTCTGGATGTGGAAGAGGGGGAGAAGAGGGGTGAGTAAAAGAGCTTGAAGAGGGACTTGGATGCAGTCACCCAAGCTTAGTCAGGCTAAGTGCTGTCTTTTCTTCCATCCTCAGACATTTGAATGCTAGCATAGATGCAGACTGACTCGAATGGCTCAGCAAGTCTTCTCACTGTTTCTTTTCTCCCTCTTTGATGCATGTGTAATCTTGCAAAAATCTCACTGCGTACATCTCTGGAATGGGAACTCAAAGAGCACTGTGGCTGGAGAAGCTGAGAGCAGTGGTGCCTGAACACGTGACAAGCCTGTGGACATGCAGATCCCTGTTCAGTGTGGCAGGAGTGTCTACACCAAACCTGGTTCAACTCCACCAGCCCAACTTCAAACAACATTTTTCTGAAGGGGACAAGGAGGCGGGTGGGGGAATGGAAATTGGAAACAGACTATTCAGCTTGGGCAAGTCTTTCCCTGAAAAACACAAGTCCAAATGGTTTGTGGCTGAATGCTATAGACTGCAGTGCAGAGTCCCATGTTCTTGCTGGCCCTCTGTTATATGTGGACACAGCCTCTTGCAGGGCTCTGTCCTGGAGTCTTTGCTTGAAGTGACCCCAAGTGGTTCTCTGCTGTGACATGTGGGAGAGCAGATCATTCTGAGGGCCTGAGTGC